GCCGAGAGGTAGTCAGCCTGCCAGCTAAAAAAATTATCTAATTTAAAAGTCAAATGTCATTTTTTGGTATGCCCTCGTTCGTGCCTTTTTGTTTGTTGCTTTGTTTGTTTTCGTTTTTCTTATTTTTTTTTATGCCATTGCCGACACATAATGTGAATTACCTCACAAAGGTGACGCCGCTGATGAGTTGACGATGTTGAGGACATTTCGGTCCTGTAGGATGGTGAACAGCCAAAGGTGTCAGCCCAACATTTCCATTTCAAGCCTCGCAATACTCTTTAAAAAAGGACACTTTTGAACTTTGGTTTTAGGCAAAAAATCTTTTTAATTCGATTATTTTTGTATTTTTTTGTAAGAAAATGACTGCTTGTTTTTTAAAGATCTTTAATTAATATTATGATTTGAAGGTAATATAGAAATATTTTATTTGAGAGTACTTCCAAATTCGAATTGAAAAACCACATCGACTCACCTCAGTTAGTTGAATCTTTGCTTTTTTTGACGTTTTCCGTTTCGGCTTCCGTTCCTTTTTGCTATTTTGGCAAAAGACATTTCTTTCTTTTCACTGGCAACGACAGAAAAATTACCCGAATTTCATTTAACGCTCCAACTTTGTCACTGGCAAGGACACCTCCAACAAGGACACATTGTATCCTGTACATGCAAGGCAAATGCGTTGAGTCTGTTAATGTGTTTACATAAATTTTCCGAAACAAAAAATCAAGCATGAGAAGGAAATGTGTTTTTTGTTTGTCGGGTTATGCAAAATCAGTGAATTTTTACATTTTGGGTTTAGTTTCTGTCTCAGACACTCTCTTCTTTTTCTATTGGTCATGTTATTTTATTTCAGTTGGCCGTGGGCATTAATCAGGCTAAGAACAGTCGGAAATCCTGTCACAGATGCACTCGCCCTTCGCTACAAATTGGATTTTAAGTTTTTGAAAGGACCTCGGCCACGTGTGTGCCGTTTGCTGGAAAGGTTCAAGGGTCAGGTTACCTGCATCAGGAGCCACTCATCCGTGGAAAAAGAGAGAAATTTGAGCTGTCAGCAGGTTCACATCTGCTGGGACCCGGAACTGTTAGCATTGAGCTGGAACTGTGGCATGGGTGGGTTGCCTTGGGTGTCAAGGGTTAAGTGCATGGGAGTGTCACTATTGCCGCTGTCCCACTGCTTTTTTACCCCCTGCTGCCATCTCGTTTGTCGTAATGCATTAGCCCGACTGTGGGTGGGTTGTGTTTAGGCCAGAGCCCGGAACCGGAATCAAACTTTTACCTCTCCGGAGACACCATTTCCAGCTGTCCGACCGTAAAGCTCCACCCGGTGAGATCTCAGATTTAGTTGTCCGCCCCGTTGACTTGCCCTGGCATTTATGAATAATGGATAGTGCAACTCTCTGGCAGCCAATTGTTTATTTATTGTCTGATTGGATTGACTTCACAATCCCCTGGTAGAAAAAAGTGAAGCCGCGACATTTGAGCATACAAAATTCATCGCCGTTTGTTCAGCAATTTTTTGTCGAGAAAGGTGTTTATGAGCCAGCCAGGCTTATTCTTTAAAGTAACTGTGCTTCTAGGACAAATTCAGCATGGCCTCGGAAGACTTTTGGCTTGGAATTGATAGTCACACTGCCGTGTGACTAGGGTGTCAATTATTCTTGCTGTGTTGGCCATTAGGCCACCTTCCCAACTCCTTACGATTTTGGGCCTTTTGTCCATTTCGGCATTCCACTGTTGCCACTGTGTTTGCTGGTTGTCTGCTGATTTTTGGTCTCGCCTCAGAGCAATTTTTATGGCTCATAAAATTCGAAATTAGAACTGGTGCTCAGCCAGTGCCACAGACACTCACATACCAAAGGACTATACATACATTTTTTTGTGTGGGGCGTAAAATGTTTATGCTTTGAGCTGGGAAATCTGTACCCGTCGAGTGGATTTTCTTTTCAGAATTAGTATTACATTTAAATGGCATATAATTTGTTAGCGCCATAATATTTATGCGAGCTGCGGCCGTACACTTTTATTTATGTTCACTTGGCTGCTCATCCAGCTTCCCAGGGCTAAGCTTGCCAGCATCCCAGCATCCAGCCCCAGCCCCGCGGAATCCCCTAGCTGACAATCAAAGCGCACTTCTCAGGAATTGCGTTTAATTTGCGTCCTAGAGGCATCACCATCCTCCTACCACCACCATCCCCATCCCTCTTTGCATTCCACTTTCACTTACTTTCTCCGGGCTGACACAATGCAGCGGTGCCACGCGGCGTATGCGCAATATTTAGCTTTCTCCTCGCCGGCGACTCTTGGGAAAACAATTATTTATTTGTGTTGTTTTTCCGCTGCGTAGATGCGGAAATTTTTAATTGCCGCTTTAACGCGAATTTTCTGAGAGTATGACTTTTTGTTGGCCTGGCCTGCTATTGTGGTCCTGTGCGAGTCCTGTTTTTGGTTCTGGTCGTGGTCGTAGCGGATGAAAGGTCTGACTACCACTAGCTTTCTGCTCTTTGGAGCGAAAACGGAATTATTATTAAAGGCGAACTGCGACCTTGGTTCGTGAAAAAAATTCTTACACACAAAAATCGCATAGTTCAAAGAAAACATTTTGCTTACATTCCCAAAAAATAAAAGGACTTGGCCAAGAGCACAGAAGGAATTCATTGGGGAGCGGAAAACAAACTCGCAAAATAGTGGGGAAAATTGGAAAAGGAAACGAAGGGTAGAGTTATTGGAAATTCCCAATTAACTTTAGCCAAATAATACACAGAAAAAAAAAAAATATAAAGAGCTTAAGTTGTTTAAAATATTTTTGAAAAATAAAACATAAATTACAGTATACAAATACTACAATAAATTTTTGAAAAAAAAAACATATATAAGTAGAGTATTTCTTGAAAGTTTATTTAAGAATCGGCATCTCTTTTTTCGTTTCGCTTAGTTCTCTGAGTCCTTGCACCATCCTCCATCATCAGAGTTCACTTTTCATCACTCACTCATCACCATATTTAAAGCCAACCGAAAGCTAATCATCGGACTTTCTTCTCTTCCGTTGCAGCTGATTTCTGGCGCGGAAAATTGAAGCAGCCCAGGGTCGTCGGATAGAGGGGTGGGGCAGGGGGCTAAATGGAAATGGCCACCAAAGCCGGCGGAACGGAATCAACGCCCCTGTCCAGCAATCGTTCGTCCAGCAGCCAGTGGCCGGCACGGTGCACGGTCAACGGTGCGGATGCGTGATGTTGCCGCCGCGGCGCCCTTTGATTTCTGAAAATACCGAAAAAGGTAGCAGAGCGTCAAATCGATAACCACAGCACACAAAGTGCTGATCAGCCAATCAAGGCGAGCAACTAAGCGATATAGCCGATATAGGGGTATACAGCCGACTCTCAAAGCAACCTCGTGGCGCCCAAGGATGTGGATGCGGATGAGGATGCCGCAGGCCCGCCAACTGCTGCTGCTGATGAGTGTGATGTGTGTTGTCCTGAGTGTGTGTCTGGCGGAAATCGAGGTGGAGGCTGGCGCCCCAGCTGGCGCTCTTGGCGCTACGGTCTCCCCACCACGGAATCGCATCAAGGCGGAAGCGGAAACCCTGATGACGGGCGACAGTTTCAACATTCGCCACGGGCGTTCTCGTTCCCATTTGCTGCATGGATCGGCAACGGCAAACAGCAGCAGTGGAAGCAGCAGCAGTACCATCACCCGCCTCCTGCCGGTGCCGACGCCCACCCAGCAGCCGGGCGGAGTGGGCGGTGGCACCTCCAATGCTCCTGTCACGCACAAAATCCGTAAATTGCACAAGAAGAAAATCAACGAAAGCATACGCAAGAGTGTGGACAAAAGCCTGGGCCTGCTGCATCCGCCCAAGAATCATCGCAGCCTAGCGGAGGCCGAGCACCTGCAGGGGCGTCCTGCCAGTGAGGATGCCGAGGTAGCTGCTCTCAGCGAGGTTATGCAGCTGGCCGATGAACTGGAATCCTTTGCCACGCCCCCCACAAATCGGCAATTTGTGCGTGATGAAGCCAATTATCAAGCGGAGGAGGAGGAGCCGGAGGATGAGGAGGCAGATGCCCGCCAAGAGGTCAATATGGGGGAGGATGTTGATGACGATGACGACGACGAGGACGATGACGAGGACAATGTCGATGAAGTAGAGCTTTTATCAACTACAGCCAGGCCAAAAGTGGTTCGACTTCAACCCGTAAATGGGACGTGGAACAAGGTTGGTTCCAATCCCCAAAAAGCCTTCGCCTCCACCTTGTCCTCATCCGATTCGGATTATGAGACCAATGCTCTGGACCTCGACGACGAGGTAGATGGTAAGCTCTTTGGCCAACTCCAGTTGGCAAATGAGACGACCACCGAGTGGCTGGACGAGGAGATTTCCAAAGGGGACAACCAACCAGAGGCGGAGGCCAGATCCCAGGCAGCTAGCATGGAGATCAAGCAAATCAGCTTCGAAAGCGGTGGGGATGCCGGCGATGACCTAGGCGAATCCGTTTTGGACACCTCCGAGGTCACCATGGACGATGGCTATCCCCCCGATGTGCAGATCGACGACAAGACCAAGCAGCTGGTCATCGGCGACGTGGAGGACAACGAGAACATGGAGTCCAGTCAGATTACCGCCGACGTGATCAATGCCAGAGATAGTAAGATCGATCTGGTGTCCAAATTCCTGCAGTACATCGAGCAACAGCATCTCATGGGCTCTAACTGTGTGGCCGGGACTTCGTTGAATCTGGGAGAGGGCGTGGTCGACCGATATGCCCAGGACCGGTTTCGAGTGGAGGCCGAGGTGGCTGTCAATCGTGCCAATATGCTGACCAGGTGAGTAAAAGTCACGAAAACTTTTCCGCCACCATGCCAGCTCATATCATCCACATGGAAAACTTTTCCAATCGAAAGTTTTTGCCAGGCGGTGGTCCAATGCGAATGAAAATGAAAATGGATTTCCAAAAAAGACCCGGCTCAGTATTTGTTATACTATTTGCAGTTATTTTTATCAGAACATCCCTTGTTAACTTTATTATTTTTAATCAAAAATGCATAAATAGGTTCTACAGTTCCGCATAACTCGACTCCACTTCTGGAACCACCGGCTCACTGTCCCTGTCCTTATGCAATAGGTCCTCTTCGGAGGGCGAAAAGTCATTGGGAATGTGAAAGGTCTGACGGATCTCCTCGGCGGTATGTCCTTTTATCATATTGGCTACCGTCATACAGGCCGCACTCAGCAGTTCCCTGATGTCCAAATAATTGGCCGCCAAGATCAACTCGAACAGTGTACCCTGATCCATGGTCAGAAATTCTGCGTCCCAGGCACTGATCACATCCGATGACCTCACCAACGCTGAGGCTTCATCTTTTGCACCATTTTCGTCAGACTTTTCCGCCTCCTGGTGGTGATTGGCCCAAATGAGGACCTTGCCGAGGATCGTAGAGTTGACATTGGGAAGAGGAATCAGTGGGTTCTCTTCCGATTCCAGGCCGCAATCCTCTAAGAGATTTCTGATAGTGCTCGAGCACTTGGCCGTTTCCGAGTCGATGTTGAAGACTTCGCCATCAGAGGATTGCAACTGGATATTTGGCATTTTTTAGCCCTCCGGAAGAGAGTTTTGGAAATATTCCAATAATAGAATTTGTTTGTAAAAATTTTGACAGCAAAACAACAAAAGTTTAAAGGGATATTTTTTGAAAGAAAGCTTAATAAATATTAAGAGATGAATACCCATAATTTATTTCTGATGCTTTACTTTTCAAAGAGCTATTGAAATCACCAGGCACTCACTAGTCCTGTGGATTTCAGCGCTTTCCATTCACGTCTCAGTAGTTATTCGCCAATTTGTGCTCATCCAGATTGCCAAGTGGCCTTTGTCAACAAGAAGCATAATGTGCTTTTCTTGTTGCGGTCTTGTCTGCCATAGTTGGCGGAACTACCTTCTGGCTGTTCAATCCACTCCCCGATTTTCCCGGCCGATTCGTCTGCCTGGCTGCGTGCAGTTTGTTGATAAAAGTTCAATTACTTAGATGAACAGAGGCGTGCCGGGCAAAAAAGTTTGCGGCATTTTTGTTATTGACAAAAAAAAGCCAAAAAAGACCAAAATCAAAGCCAAGACATTAATTTACCTTCACGATGAAGGCAATTCATTTGGTTTTTCTCACAATTTCCAGCTGTCCAAACTGGCCAAGTTTGTCCGAGCTTAACTTTTGTTTTGTTTTCATGTTCCGTCTTCGATTTAGTATCTTTTGTGGAACCGACCAATTGACAGTTCCACAGAGATACATGTTCCTCAGCTTTAATCCCAATCCTTGTGGCAAGTCTCAAACGAATCCTGTGCTGAACTTTTTCTCACATTTTTTCATGGCTTAGCTCTGAGATGTTTTTTTGGGTTTTTGCTTTTCCAGCAGCTGCCTAGGACAATAAACAAAGTAAAGTTTCTTCAGATGTGGCATATGTGGGTTCACTGCTGACAGTCCGGTGTCCAGTAGACCAGTGTCCTATGTCCTTGCCTGCATACACGCATTCTATATGTCAATGTCGATGGGAATGTTCCTGGCAGACATTAGACCTGGAATTTATGTTCTTCAGTTTTTTCTTTAATGGCCAGAGCCGGTGTCTTTGTGGAATAAGAGAAAAGAAACTTGGCGTTTTTTCATCGCAGCAGGGATGGGTGTGGTTAGCTCCGTGCAACAGGCCCCCAGATAATATTCGAAGGATGTGATTTTGCCCTGGAGTCCTGAGTGGAGTTGTGGGAGGGCTAGGAGATAAAATTCCAATATGGCCACATAATTTTCAAGAAACGATAACAACTTTCCGTCCACTGATTGAAGACATTGAAGACTTGTGTTGACGAGAAAATCCATTTGTTAAAAGCCACAAGAAAAAGTGGAGAAATGGAAGGAAAATAAAGAACTGAATCTAATGAACAAATGCCGCTTGTCAATGAGAACACACAAATAAACAATTAACCCGGCTGAACAGTTTGACAAATTAAGTGACAGAGGGAAAAGTGGGAAAAGCTGGAAATGAAAATGGGAAAATATTGTCAGCTTTATATATATAGAAAGCCTGAAAAAAAGAAGGACAATCTAGAACATTGTAACTTGGCCTGGGGAGCAATAAAATGTCAAAGTCTCACTGCCGTGGCTGTTAACGACAAATGTCAATAAATTAAATTGCGCCCTGCCACCCCGGGATCTGGATCAGAATCGGGATCAACATTATTGCATTTAGTGTCATATGCCCGACATTTGTTTTCATTATTCCCTCAATAAGGAATGTGGCCTCTGGGAGTTGCTAACTGTTTGTGAAAAGCCCGGTCTGATTTATTCAGTGGCCGCCCACTTTTGGCTGCCATAAATTCAATGGCCGAATCCCTCCAGGTTCCCGGTTCCTGGTTCCTGGCTCATTTCCAAAAATTTCTAAAGAGCCAAGATGCGACCTATAGGCCTCTAATCAGAGGGAATGTTTTAATCAGTTTTGCTTGTGTTAACATAATCAAGGGTGGCCGGAAAAGTTTCACTCGAGCACAGAAAGGAAATTACTTTGGCCCACGATGGAGGACCCTTAACAGATACAACACACAGATACACAGTTATACAGCTACACAGATACATAGATACTAATTGAAGTTATTGTTTTTTGATACATTGTTATCGCCCTTTTATCCTGCTCACTTTTTGTGTTTGGGCATTTCCTACGGTTCGGTTTACTTTGTTGCTCAAACAAAACAAAAATAACATTTAAGGAAAACAATAGCACCAACAACTAGGAGCAAGGAGGAGGGAGCTCTGAGGAGGGCTGACAGGAAAAACAATATCAATTCAACTTGAAATTACGAGCTTCAATTGTTTTCTTGCCTTTTCTTGGCCACTTTTCGTTAGTTTCCGTTCACGCCGCCAAAGTGTAGACAGCAAACACGACCAAAAACAAAAAAAAAACGAGAAAGGACGATTAAAGGAGAGTTTCACGACTTTATGATACCTGGTACTCATGCTCATGCACTACATCTTATACCTCTATCGTTTATACTCTCTGAGATCTACGCGTTTATACAGACACACGGACATGGCTATATGGACTACAATACAATATACCCTTTTATTCTATAAGTACCGGGTATAAAGTGCGGGAAAACTGAGAGGAAAAGCAACTTCAGTACACAGGCACAGTCACAGTCACCTACAAAAGTGCGCCAACAAGGTGGATGGAATCGGAAAACTTTTAAGTACTTAAATGTGTTGTCGTTGTCGTTGCCGTCGTTGAAGGTAAAGTGTGGTGTGTGGCAAGGTGTGATTTGTATGCATGGTGTGAGAGGATGCTCTTTCCCTTTGGCTCTTCCTGAAATTGAGTTTCCGGTTTCTGGTTCTCGTTTCTAAACTCTATCTCTATTGGCTTCTTTTGACTTTTGCCAGCTTTGAGTGCACATCGCTCCACTATTTGCCAGGCAATGATTTTGTTTTTCTGTTCCAGTTCGGCGATAAACTTGGCAAATAATTTATTGCCTTTGCGTTAGTTTGTTTCAATTTTCCTTGCTGGTTGGTAGCTGGTAGCTGCCAGTTGGCAGTTCGTAGTGGCATTTGCTCTTAGCTCTCGGTTCAAACAACAAAATCGAAATTGAAATCTGCATAAGCGATGCAGTTTCCAATTGCCAACGGCAATAAAACGCGACATCGGCAAGGACATCCGCACCCCCGGGCACGGAAGATCCTGCGTCATTGTCAACATCCTTCAAAAAGTTCTCCAAACGGAAGCAAACAAATATCTCTATGCAAGTCAATGTTCAGGCAAAAGTTTTATATATCAAGAGAAAAATATTCCGGCTTTATAACCGGCCGATTATAAGAATACTTTGAATTTTCCAGGAAAGTATGCTATGCTGTGTTCTGGGCAGAAGGTATTGCATTTTTTCAGCTTGATTGCTTGTCTTCCACTCGATTTCTTTCAGTGTGCCTGGCTTTGGGACTTTGTGCCGCTTGATTTACTCGACTCTGCTTTGCCCAGCGGGCGGTGCTAATAACCCTGCCCTTTCCCTTTTCCCATTTTCTGACTTTTCCCACATTTGCCCGCCTCCCAGCCTGCAGTTCTACTATTTTTATTGTTTGCCGCCGTAGAATGCAGCTAGCAGTTGCCTAGCCCCAAAATGGAAATTGTTTTCATTTTGCGCAAAACAATCCTAATGTGGATTCTCCACCAAACCACCCCGCTTCTACACGGCTGCCTTTGCCATTGAAAGGAAAAACCCACAACTGCAACTGACACGGACATGCATGCCTTTGTAGGCCAACGGCGGTATCCTGGCCCCACACTGGGCGAAAATAAAAAAAAAAATAAATGTTAAGGGGAGCTAAGAGAATCCACCAGAAACCAGCACCACTAGTGCACCACTTGGTCGCGGCCTTTTTTCCAGCTGGTTTATTTCATTTCTCCCATCTGGTCGTGACTCCTTGCACCGACGAAAGCTGAATCCTGGCTGAATGGTTGTCTGCTGCCTGCCGGCGTTCTACCATGTAAATGGTCCTGGCGGTTCTCTTCTTTCGGCCCTTTTAACTACAGTTGACACTCCCTAACGCTAACTAACCATTTGACCCAACCAATACGTCAACAAGAATTGAAACTTATTCTTACAACAGCTTGGGCTACGAACAGTCAAGTTACTATTTTAGGTTTTAAAGTTTTCCTAAAAAGTTTAATTTAATTTGTATCTAAATCCCTCGACACCTCGCGGTTTAATTAAAATGCAAGTAAATAAATATTCGTTTTAGGGGAACTCAACAGTGTGTGAATTTTTCGAGGGCTCCCCTCCGTACACTGTTTCTGAAGAAAACTACACGACTGCATCCCTTTGGCACGCTTTGTGCAACACATGTTGCCATAACTTAACAGCTTAACAAACTTGTCGAGTATCCTTGCCGGCCAAAAAAACGAAGGGGGAGAGAAACTGCTACCGAATCAGTGGCTCCCGAGTGGTTTTGGCCCACTTGGCGTATGCGTAACATTTAAGCAAAAGCCGCAGTCGCAGCCACAGCCACAACCGCCGTCTTTGCCTCTTTATGCTTTTTTGATGGCAACTCGCAGTCTATTCTTTTCACAATAAAGATCCAAAGTTTGTCTTTGCCAAGGAGGCTACCGGAGTGGAAGGCGCGAAACTCTGTGGCCCTGGACTCATTATGCTAGCTGTACGGCGGCAGGAAATCAAAAAGAGAAACTTTTTCGGGGACGGGCACCGAAAATGTTTGCCAACTTTTCGCTTTCACTCGCCAGCCCACCAGCTCAGAAGCCCACCAGCGAGGAGCAGCAGTGCCTGCAATAATAATCATCGGGGTGGCAAAGTACGTTGAAAAGAAGTTACCAGAAGTTGAAAGCAATTAATGGACTAAATCAAAAAGCATTTTTTCCACAATAAAAAGAACAACGCTACTAGGGGCGACGTTATTATGGGAGCTGGGTTCCTCCTGCCTTACTGGGTATCCTGGCAGGCTTTGTGGCCAGCGTAAACATGTCAACAACAAGTGCCTTGTGGCTCAATTAGCCGCAAGCTAACATAGCCCGGGAAACCAGGGAACCAAAACAGGACCAAAGTGGGCCAACTTTTAATTAATTGAACTCCTTTTCCTGCCTCATAATTGAACAACACACACTGCCATGTCACAGGATCACAGGACGATAAAATAATTTTCCTTTCAAGCGAAATGTTTGATGTTTTTTTTTCCTCTTTC